GGGGGGAGGGGGGTGTTCTTTAGGCAGCATTCACAGGAGTGATATAAAGGTGGTATAGAAGAGAGAAACAGAAACAAATAGTATATCTAAATTACCAAATATTAGCACGTCTCACTTAAGCCAAAATCCTAACTTGGCCCTTGGGCTAGTTAGTCTTATACATAATGCCTGTTTTTCCTGAAGCTTGTAATTGTAGCAGTTACTGCTCATTTTATTCCTCAGAATTCTGTAGGTTAAAGGAATAATCAGGGTCAGCTGACTAAGCAGGTCTCACTTAAATCTAAGGAATGTCCACTGGACCATTCAGAACATCACTAGTTAGTTAAAAAGTCTTACTAACAAATCTATTTGCATTCAGATCTGGTAGGAAAATCACAAGGGTACTATACAAATGAGATGCACACAAATCAGTTCTGTCGTATATAAAAAGAATTCTCCTTTTACCTCCCAAAATAGATGGTTGCTCTTGAAATGAATAGTGTTTTGTGCACTGCATTGTGGGTAATAACATGAGAAGACTCCATCCTTGTAAAAACTAAATTATCCCTTTTATTCTCTGTTTACAAAGATGTTGCAACTGCATATAAACTGACTTCCTGGTTCCTCCTCCAAATGTTCCTTCCTGTAATGTGCACTTTGTCCAAATCTCATGCAGGTTTCTGTGGAAAAAACCCAGGAAAAAAATAATTTTAAAAAGTTGGTCTGTATTTCTTATTTGATAAAAGATAAATTTGCATGCAGATGTTAGTTCTAGAAATCTTCACAAAAAGGCTAAATGAAACTTTCTGTCGATTAATTTTTTGTTCATGAATTTTTCTCAGGAATTTCTTCGGTTCCTAAACCAACCTTCTCTGCTCTGTTCTCTTAGTTGAGGAAAGTTGCATCTGTTAAGGGCCTTTTGAAAACTGTAATCAATATTTGTATATCAGAGTGGTGGTAATCTTAATCAGTCTGTTCCTGTCCAACAGATTTAGTCCATTTAACCTGTTCATCAACTAAAACTGCTAAAGAAGATTTAGAGCCTGTCATACAGAAGTTGTTCATCCTAAATGATGAAAAAGAGACAGGTAAGACAAATAGATGTACTATTATAAAATAATTTTACAAAAATGTAATTCAACCTTTGACCTAAAATTATTTCTATTTCTACTGAACATCTAAATTTACTCTGAAGATCACAACTTGCAGTTACCTACTTCTGGTCTGCTGTTTGGGTAGCAGTGTTCCAAATGTAAAGGGACATCTTCAATATTTGAGAGTGAGTGAGGGAATATGATTAGATAGTTGCCGTTTCTACCTATTTCCTTAATCCTTTAAAGTTTCAGACATTCCTTTGTTCCAGCACTTTTCAATAAGTGGAGCTGGACTATGAAGATAAATGTCCAGAATGTAAAATGGAAGCTGAAAGCCTTTTCTGGTAGCTAGATGTCTGGCAAATGTTTCCTTGCATAAGTTAAATTAAAAAAGCAACGCAAAACAAAAAACATGAATGACAGACAGATATTGCTGAAACAAAAATGCAGTTCCAAATGCATTACTAGTATTCATTCTTACTTTGTGTTTAATTATTTCCATGATTTTAATACTGGCATACCTCCCAAGAGAAAAAAATATCACAATAAGCTAGTGTTCTGCTTTTCTTTCCAGTCCCCCCAGATGCAGTCTGGACCTTGTGTGCTTTCTTATTTCTTTCCTTTTGCTCTCTTCTCTGTTTCTGCTGCTTCTCACTCTTCTGGTCTTCATGTTTTTCTTCTGTCAGTCCTTTTATTTTTTGTTTCTACCTGGAGTTATATGAACGCTAATTTGAAGAAATGAATTATACACATCATCATGAATACCTGAGATTTCTAGCCCTCCTTATCTCTTGTAATGAGTTCCAAAGCTTTTGCCCTATTAAGAAAGCTCTGCCAGGTGCTTTCATGAGATTCACCCTTGAAGTAAATAATTTCATAGTTCCTGAACTACTGAGGCGCTGAGGAATGCAGATGTTGCAAAGGGGAGTGCTTTCTAGGGCTCTGTTTTGAGCCAATGTCACAGAACGCTTGAAATTTAGAAACCAAGATTTAAAATTTGTATCACATGAAGAGCCCATGTTGTGAATGGAAAGTAATGTGCTAGGCAACGTCTGCTGCTGCAAACTGAACCTATTAAAGCTCTTTTAATGTTGGAATGTTAGTACTTAAATATGAGTTGCAATGTCTCTCTCTGAGAAGATCTCTTTGTTTCTATTGAGTTTTGACTTTGAACTAAAAAGTAGCTATTATGAACCATTTTCATACAGGCAACCCCTGCTTAGTGCTCTTAATTGGTTCCAGAAAAACCTAGCACTAAGCGAGACCACGCTAAGTGAAACCCATTTGCCCATAGGAATTAATGTAAATATAGGTAATTGGTTACTGCGGCTTCTTGCTGCCGCTTCTTGCCACTGCTGTCTCTCCCC